AACATTAGCAGTCCAGAAAGAGCGAGAAAGCAAGTTCAAGAGCATAGTTTAACAAACTCAACAAATATTTCACGACCTCAATGTGTACATAGAGGTGCCAGATAGGGGCAGCCAGCCCTACTGCATGTGTATGGAAAAGGATTCTATGTTCTGACTTGTGCCTCTTCATTGCCCTCTGGCCCCTTTACAATGTTTCTGAGTCAGATCTCCTCACTGGTAACTTCCAACACTTCAGATTAAAAAGTATTTATTCTGAGGGTTTTTTTTTTGTTTCATAGATGTTGGGCTTGTCTGATGCTTCCACGTTATTTGTGTCAATTATGTGACCTTGGTACTTTAATTTTATGAGCTATTTTAAGGAATAAAAAGTTGAAGTTATGTTTCTTCCTGTCTACACATATAACTCTGTCCTGAGATACCAGTGGCTCCTTTCTTGATTTAATGATTGTTGCTATTTGAATATACTGCAAAAGATTACATTCAGTATACGGACAGAAATGGCACTATGCTGAAACATTTGCAGAGCAATTCTTACAAGTGGATAAAGTGTTGGGCTTGCAAGATAGGGTAATAGTAATTAGTACCAAAATTGTTGCAAAATGATAGCAGCATCCGACCTTTTGCTATTTAAGTATAGGATAGTCTTGCTCATTTCTGCGATTGGTCAGAGCTTAATACTGCTAAGTCGAACACTTGTTGGCATCCTACAGTAAGCCCATATAATATTTCAGACATAGTTCAGCTTGTAGCACAGAACTAGAAGTATAACAAGACAAAACTGACAAACCAGAATCTGTTATACGTGGTGGTTTAAATAGGTGGAATTCAAGATTTCTTGTGAATACTTTACCATGCTGTCGATAACAGTATCATTTGAAAATCTTTTCCCACTTTAACAATCCATTCCCGTCAATATCCAGCAAGCAGCAATTATTGCCTAAAAAAGTGATCAATCTTGTCACTCAAAATAACTACTGAAATTGCAGCAAGAAATAGACCGGAAATTTGTCTGGGCTGTATTGCATTTTTGTTTTACTGCCGTTAGTTATGTAAAGCCTGACAGTATTTTTTTTTATTTCACACTTTTGGATATTAAGATTCAAAACCTCTGTCTCTTCCCAATAAATGGTTCAGTTTAGAGTGTCATTATTTTAATTTCTTGTAAATATATACAAAATGTTGAAGAGGCATCAACAATATGAATTCAGAAACAGGAAAACAGGGATGTTTTTTGGACAATGATGTTAGCATCAATTTTGAAACAAGCTTGAATGATATGGACGCAATAATTGCATCAATTAATGTACAATTAAAGCAGTGATTAACTGATTAAAATGTAATCATGAAATTAATCAGACTTTAAAAACACTTGTCAAGCCTAATTCTATAATTCACTAAATTGGTGCTAAATTTTGTAATTTATTAAATTGGTCATTTAGATTTTTAAAATTCAGTTCAATGATTGCATTCAATCATGACATTACAGCATATTATTAACCAAGTTGCCTATTACATTTATTAAATAACTGCCTGCATTTGATAATTAAATTACCAAAGTAGTTTTTATAAATTGGAGACAATTCACAAAAGAATTGAAAATAAATTCCATCTGAATTTACTAATTTATAACTTCAGGTCTGTTTTCTGATCTTGTACATTTGGTCCATGGGGATCAATTAGTTTTGAAGGCAATGGAGAAAGGAGTTTCTCATTTACATTTACATACACAATGGCTGCTTTGTTTTACTGTTTTAACTCAAATTTTTCATCATGCATTAATGAAGTGGACAGTGGTAGATTTCCACTTTGGTACTGTTGAATAATGGTTAAAATGGCCAAATTGAGCATCAATCAGTTGTCAGTACATGTTAACGTGCTTTCCTAGACAACTTTGATCGCAAGACCTTTATTTCTGGTTTCCTACATATACTTGCCAAATGACTTGAGCACTTATTAACTCTTCTGGTTTATCAGGAATTAGCAAAATGCAATTACTAATATTGTATACTATACTGTTTTTTCTTGTGGCCATGCTAAAGCAGGACTGGGCGCGGTACATGTGTAAATGACAATACTTGTAGTCATAGGGTCATACAGCATGGACCCTTCGGTTCAACCAGTCCATGCCAAACCTAATCCCAAACTAAAGTAGCCCCACCTGCCTGCTCCTGACCCATATCCCTCGAAATATTTCCTATTCATACATTGATTCAAATTTCGTTTAACCGTTGCAATTATATCCACATCTGCCACGTCATCAGGAAGTTCATTCTGCACGCGAATCACCCTCTCTGTAAAATATTTGCCCCTCATGTCTTTTTTGGATCTGTCTCCGCTCACCTTAAAAATGTGCCCCCTAGTGTTGAAATTCCCCACCTTGGGGAAAAGACAACTACCATCAACTCTATCGAAACCTCTCATGATCTTACAAACTTCTAGCAGGTCACCTCTCAACCTCCTACACTCCAATGAAGAAACTCCCAGCCTATCCAGCCTTCCCTTATAACTCAAACCTTCCATACCCAGCAACATCCTGATAAATCTCTCGCCAGCTTGATAATATTTTAAATTGATCAATCCTCATTGGAAAACATACTCTTGCTTCCTTAATTCAGGAATCTTAAATGCTTTGTTGTCATTCACCACCGACAAAGCAATAATCCTGAGTGCCACTGATGCCAATCATCAGCCAGCATCATGTCTGCTTGACCTTGGGATCTTACCGAAGGCTTTCTGCCAAAGAAGGGAAAGACTCAAAATTCAGGTGCCAACAACTGAATTGTTGAAATGAAGTGCAGGGCCCAATTTTGTCTGATCCTTGGTCTTCCTGCTTGAAATGCATGCTATTGGGTATGCAGCTGATGGGCATTATAAAAGGTCTCTAATCTTTTTGTTATTTGTGATGAAAAGCACATTTCACTGGTTCGCTTGCTACAGTCTATAGATGCAGTTTTGTTAATGTCTGCTTGTAACAGACATAACTTTACAATATCCATTGTAGCATAGGATCAGGAGTCTGAGAAAAGTTGGTTTTCCTAAAGTTTGAAACATCATTATTTTTCTGCTTTATTTCACTAAAAAATTACATCTGTGATGTAATAATATTATCAGTATTGCATGCATCAGCATTTTGTAGGTGACAAACAAAATGTACACTCTGTAAGACTGCTAATGTTGATTAGGTGCTGGCATAGACATAGTATCACTGTTAAATCCCAATGTCTTGCATTTCAGGCTCTGGTTTCTAACCGTCCATACCACCACATTTGTGCCAACAGCACGTACATTGAATCAATGAAGGGCCCTGCTATATAGGGTCAGTTTTTCCTTCATAGGGAGTTATGTAATACTTTGCTGTTTTAAAATAGTTTTGTACCATTTATAGTAGGTAAACTAAAAAAGAATAATTAAATATCTCCTAGTGTTGGCTATTGCCAAATAAAGTGCATTGAAGGGATTCTGGCTTGTTCTAGCAAATGAATATAAATCTTTTGTACTCCATTTAGCATGGCAGATGCAATGGTGCCAGGTGCGCCCATAAAGATGATATTTTTGCCATGATGAGGACTGTGCCATCCACCTGTACTTAAAGTAATTTTTGTATTTAGGGTCAGCAACTATCCAGTGGCAAATTATTTACTGTAAGAGAGCATTGAAGTACAGACAGAGAACGTAGCAAGAATTAATCAATTTAATTTCAGTTTGGTTCAACATCCCAATCTGTTACTCTTCTGTACTATAAGGTGTAAATTTCAATATAAACCTTTTTGATGTTTAAAGAACATTACCACATCTGAGTTATCAGCAAGTATAATTACTATAACAGTATATTGCCTTTTCTGAAGACTTTGCTATTGCAGTTATTGCATTAACTTTTGCAGCAAATGGCAAAATGTTACTGCTGGCCACTGACCTTCAAGAAGGCTGTCCTAAAAGTTCTAGTGATCTCTGTGGATTATTGTTCTCTTTGCCCAATGGCAGTTTAAATCTGGCACCAAGTCAAAGTGATCTCCAGGTGTACAACAGCTGTAATGTCATCAAGCAGGATAAACATCCTCTGGAAAATTGAAGGATTCTCAGACAGAAAACCAAAAAGTTAAAAGCACTGATGAACTTACCCCTTTTATGGTTTCAGTTAGTGAAATATGATCACACTTTAGAAGATAAAATATCAGCTGTGTGCAAGTTTTCATTTTGGAAATGTTGACTTTCCAGAAATGTACAATTAGCTGTTAATGGCCAAGGAGGATGTATGACTGTGATTAATAAATTAGTACATAGATAAATTTCTAGTAAGTTAGATCTCATTTAACAGAGTACAATCATTTTCAAGAGTTTTTAGCAGTGGGATTAACATCATAGAACTGAAAGTTTCCATCAATTCATTGACTGCTTAAAGGCTTCACTGTTGGGGTTGGAAGATATGGAATGTTTCTACAGCACATCTTCTGGAGAAGCATAAAATCACACTTGTGCAGAAGCAACGTCAGGATCTCTATTTTGACTACACACAGACTCCAGTAGTTCTGAGAGTTTCAGTTGTGTCACATGGTGTTGTTCCTACAGGAAAATCTGGGGCAACAGATTGACCACAATTTTTTTTTAAAATATATAATTGTTGGAATTAAAAGGAATACTTATATTAGGTCTGGTTAGTACCCCATTAGCAAATTTGCATTCTTGATCATCACAGCCTTTCTCCATTTATATTCACTAATTGTTTGGCAAGACACAACTTTAATTCCTAAATTATAATTCATATTCCAAAACACACAAACCATGAACTAGATTTTCACAATAACATATGTGTAGTGAAGAAATTTCGCACTTAATTTGTATTGAGGAAACAATATAGTTCATTAAACTGTTTTCTACTGAACATATAGACCTAGACCTATTCCATTTTGCTAGTTGGTTACCTATTAAATTAATCATTTGTGAGTTGTGCTATTTAATAATCTACTATATTATGTAATAATTGCTGCTTCATTTGCCCACAGTATGTAGTGTGCGATGTCAAACATTCCTTATCTCAAAAGTGGGAGAAGACTGGATCTTCCTGATACTGCTTGGATTATTGATGGCATTAGTCAGTTGGGCCATGGATTTTGCTATCGCTATGTGCCTCCAAGGTAAGATTAGGACACTGCTATTGGTGAATGAAAATATTGACCTTCATAGGAACATAGTTACCTAAAAATACTGCTAATCCTTTGTCACATGGTTTGTTCTGACTTATTTTGTGTATTGCTGATGTTGTCTCATCCCATGTTCACAAAAATCAGTGTTAATTTGTTTCCTTGTATTTGGGAAAGGTAGATTTTCTGCGCGTCTTTGTCATTTGGTATATTCTAAGAAAGGGTCACCGGACCCGAAATATTAACTCTGATCTTTTCTTCACAGAAGTTGCCAGACCTGCTGAGCTTTTCCAGCAACTTCAGTTTTGTTGTTGTTGTTGTGGTTGTTTGTCATTTGGTAGTTGGTTGTTTGACATTAACGTAGCAGCTCCTAACACTGAATGGGAAAATTTGGTTACAATTGAAATTTTACTGAAATTCAGTACTTTTTTTTAAACCATTCTCAATTTGCCATGTTTGGATGTCATTTAGTATTTGTCAGGGGATTCAGAATAAGCCAATTTCACAGTTTCAAAGTTGATTCCACAATATTGCGACTGCAGTGGACATAGTCATAATATGAATTAATCCATAGCCATATCCTGTGTTTGATCTTGGATGACCCAAATAGACCTTCTTAAACTATATTTGAAATCAGGATCAGGATTCATCTGACTGCCTTCAGATCTGACAAGGAACCTGGTAAATTGTAGCTACTTTGAAGTGTCAAGTCACTTTGGTTATGATTAAGTCATAGATCAGATAACAATATCAACCTGATGCTTATAACTTGTTGAAATGCAAGTATCACTTTATTTCGTTTAGTGTCAGTTATTTAAAAAGATTTAAAATATTTAAGTTTGAAAATTGCAAGATGCTATTTTGTTTTGAGCTTGTACAATCCCAGCCTAATTCTGGCAATTGGGCTATGAATGCCCTTTTCAGTATTGATAAATATACTGAAATGATAAAGAATTGATTTGTATTTTCCCAGGAAAGAGACTGAACAAAGATTAACTGTTTGGGCCTCGGAGGGAACAAAATGCTTATATCACAACTTGTTTTTCTCTTCAATGAATGAATTTGCCCCAATATTTAGTGGGAAGATGATGTGGAAAAACGAAAAATCCCATACATAACTGTGGATTCTCATTGTTATTTTCATCCACTTCCCATTAAAGCTGATCAGATTATCAGTTTTGGGGATTTGTCGGCTGATTGCAGAGCAGGCTTAAGATGAAGGTAGAGGAGAGTATCTGTCAATCATAGCAGGGTATCGATCCTCTTCTCTCCGTCAGTCTTCTCCAACCTGAATAGTGAAGCGATTCAAAGCTTGGTATCTCCCATCCTGTCAACTGAGAGACGTACAGTAAAGAGGTAATCAGAATGATTAGACTAACCAAAACGTGAATTAAACCAATGGACAGTTTACTTCATAAGGCTTGGCATATTTTACTCTATAGAAATGCATCTCTCAGCAGACACTAAATGGTATCCAGAAATATTTTTTAGCAATGTATGAAAACCTATTTTGTATTGTGTGGATCCTTGGAAAATTAAAATATATTGATAAATTTGTTGTTTGTCTTTGAATCTGAAAAGCAATCATTGGGCAAGAGAGTCGTTCTTGATTGTGACCTCAAGTAGCCCTTGCTGTTTGTAGTACCAAATCTGGTTTGAAGCTGAAATCTAATATTGTTCTTAAACTGTCATTAGTGTTCCTTTCTGGTTTTTTACATGACATTGCAAATGTAATGGAAATGAAAGACAGGTTTCGGTTAATGAAATATCAAGACCAATTAAGGCATCAAACCATGGAATATCTCAATTTTGTTGTAAGCCAAGCTGTAAAAATGAAAAGGTGCCAGGTACAGCCCAGTAATTAGCTACATCGTAGTGCTGTGTAATCTGACTTTCTATAACTAGTCCGACATGGTTTATTTCTCTTTTAACATTCATAGTCTTGGTTTATAAATAAATCGTCACTCTGGTTACACAGAGCTATGAAACCTAAAGTCTTTAGAAGTCTTCGCATTTTAGGGTTCATTTTAAATGTGGTGATTTGTTAGTACAGCTGTTGTTCCATAAGCTATGTTGCATTGAAAATATTCACCTTTCAGTCTTTTCCCCAAAAGATTTAAGCAAAAGTCATGATCACACAATTTGTCTGTGCTTTCAAAGAAAAATATTTTCAAATTAATTTACATTAAATTTCGGATATTTGTAATGTTAGTATTTTAAATATAATTAAATGCTGAAGGAGGACTGGCCACTTCAGTATGTTCCATCATCCCTTCACTGAAGTTTCAACATATTTCACTTTTCAATCTTATTCCCCTGCCTATCCAAAAGTTAGCTCTGTGCCATAGCTTCTTTTCATCCTGAAATTTCCTCTTAAAACATTTGCAAGTTTGGATTTCTTTTTGGTATCAAAACTTCCAAGAAAGGCAGAAGTAGGCAAGTTTTATGTGACAGTATTGTGGTGTAGTTGTTGATTTTTGTTAAGAGTAAGGGACTTCACACATGATGTAAAATGATGGAATATACTTGGTTAGATTTTTTTCTGAAGAAGTGTCCAGACCTGAAACATCAGCTTTCCTGCTCCTCTGATGCTGCTTGGCCTGCTGAGTTCATCCAGCTCTACACCTTGTTATCTCAGACTCGAGCATCGGCAGTTCCTACTATCTCTGAATATGCTTGGTTAACTCTTTTTTTTTTTTTTTTTTAATTGTCATGTTTATAATGTGATGAGTGCACTGATATTTTTATCTAGTCCCACTACTCCACAAGTCATACAGTACATGTAATCATAGAATCCCTACAAAACAGATAGAGTCCAATCAGCCCAATAAGTCTGCAACAACCCTCCAAAGAGCATCCCACAGCACATCCCCGCCCTATCCCCGTAACCTCACATTTACCATAGCTAATCCACCTAACTTGCCCATCTTTGGAGTGTGGGAGGAAACTGGAGCATTCGGTGGAAACCCACGCAGACATGAGGACAACATGCAAACACCACACAGACAGTTAACCATGGTTTTACCCAGTCCCCAATATGACTAATTGAACACATTCTCTATTTTAGACTTAAAATGAAAAGATCTATCCACCAAGTTTGCTTAATAAACACAATGGGGAGCCGATGGCTTAGTGGTATTATCACTGGACTGTTAATCCAGAGAAGCAGATAGTGTTCTGGGGACCTGGGTTTGAATCCTGCCACAGCAGATGGAATTTGATTTCAATATATATCTGGAATTAAGAATCTAATGATGATTGTGAATCCATTGTCGATTGTTGGAAAAACACATCTGGTTCACTAATGCCCTTTAGGGAAGGAATCTGCCATCCTTACCTGGTCTGGCCTACATGTGACTCCAGACCCACAGCAATGTGGTTGACTCTTAATTGCCCCCTGGACAATTAGGGATGGGCAATAAATGCTGCCTAGCTAGCGACACCCTCATCCCATGAATGAATAAAACAATTCAAAAATGGTTTAAGACACATAATATTTATATTACAAACTGGTTACTCCTCTAAATAACCATAAACAAACACACCCATGGTAAAGGAGTGAAGAAAATGATATTTCTCAGATATTCAATTTGGGAAGAAAACACTGCTGGCCAATAAATCTTAATCTTTGAAACACAAAGCAAACAAAAAATAGACTAAGATGCTCAAGCTGTCAGACTAATGTTCTGTTGCATAAAGATAGGTCTCACCAACGCAAACAGATGTCTCCACCATCTTTCCCAATGCAGCTTGCTTAGGAATCACAGCATCAGGTTTTTTGTGTGTGTGTGTGTGTGTCTGTGGTCGTGGGGGTGGATGAGGGTGGTGGGAGAGGTGGTGGTGGTGGGGAGCCCTCTTCAGGGGGACAATCCAGGATGAAATAGAGCCAGGGTAGCCAGTGTCCCGCATGGACCCCAACATTAGGAGAGCTGGGATGAGATGATCCTTCCTGAGGCTGGCTATCAACGGAAAAATTCAAATCAACAATCTCCAGAGTAAAAGCTGCAGCTTCATCCTCATAGATCCAAGTCACAGTTCATCAGTGAGTAAGCAGTTATCACAACAGATATGATTTTCCACAAATGCCGTGTTTGAAAAGAAAAGTTCCAATGTCCTTTCATTGACCTCTTAATAAAATATTCCAGGGATCCACAATCTTTCAAATTCAAGTCCACAAAAATGATTAAATCTGAAGTGTTTTCATAACAATGTTAATTTCATGTACGAAAAATATAGACTCTGTTATTGAAATTCTATCAATTTATTTTAGGAATAGTTTATGTGTTGAATTTAATAATAATGGTTATCTGTGCTGGTGAATAAACAAGCACTTGGGGCTAGATTTCATCCCATGTAATTTTGGTAGAATGCATTTAAAATATGATGGGTTGCTGTACACCACCTTCCCACCAGCCTCTGACCCATTCCCCACAATATAATAGGTAGGCAGGTGCTGAAATCTGCAGCCTGTCCGTCATTTTCAAAACAAAATGCAATTGAGATTATTGACAAACCAATTGATTCAAATAATACACTAACCATTCCATAAAATAGTTGATGTGGGCAGGTGGGTGAGATTCAGAAGGCTATTGTTTAAATAACTTGTGGGAACGACAGGATCTTTCAGGGTGTGCCCTGTGTGCATTGCAGGTATCTCTCCTAAAGATGTTACTCACTCTTTCCTCCAAACTGTTATATCCACATCCCCCTCATTCTCATACCTGGGCTCCCTGATCTCTTCTGTGTTTGTGTGTGGGTAGATACTGTCACTATTTCTCTTATGGGGAGAAGTCTAGTAGAATAACTCGGGAAATCCAGTAAGACACATCTCGATGTTGAGAGCAACTTTTTCCATTTCTTAAATTAAGTTCTGGGCATCAAGGTGAATTCTTGCTAGGCAGCAGCAAGTTCCTATTAAGGGGGATTATTGCTTCTTAATGCTATTAACTGTAGATCTCACTTCATTTCATATGCAGCTTTTTATCCTACCATGT